ATTTGGGTGATTGTAAGTGCGAATGTGAAATAAAATTCGCTACATCGAATACATCGAGAATTTATTTGTCGCGATATACGCCCGATACGTGACAATATTCTACCAGTCTCTATACTGTACCGATATTGGTGCGTACCATCAGTCCCGACCGAGCCAGCGAGTTCGGCCTCTACTGGCTTGGCGGTATCTATAATGCTTCCCCCATCTATCAGAGGCGTTAGAGACTACTGTTGGGCGGGAAATGTCCTTGAATTTAGCTCAGTGACCTCCTTTGGAGATGTGAGGTTCTTTTACGTGCCGTAAAGCTACGACACGGGACCCATGGCTTAAAGTCCCTCCCGGAAGACTTGTTCCCTGAATTTTTCCGCCCTTAAAAATTCCACGACCACCGCCGGTTTGAACCCGCATACCGTGAGTCATGAGGTGGGAACATTACCTCTAGACTACGGAGGCCGCTTTCCTGTATATATGTTTCAGCAATGTTTGCAACAGCTATACCAACGTTGGCAGACTTGCATAGCAGCCAACAGCGACTATTTTGAGACAGGATATGGATATGTCTAAGTGTGAGTATCTTGTAATACGGTGCAACAAAACCGCAGTCCACGGAATTATTGACTGTAGTAGTATATTTGGATGAATTGCAGTTATGAAGTTCCCCCATTGAGAGCCAATGAGACACCAAGTGTCTATACTGTCTGCCTGGCATGTGTTTATATTCATTCCATAGTCATCGTTAGTGATGCAAAGTGAAAACTTTGATATTGTAGTTATGCAACTCCGTTTATTACGTTGGATTTGAGGTTCTGATAGTGATGGCTATGAAGACTGTGGTCATCTGGATTGTTATGCTGTGTAGTTAAAAGAGAGCCTGACGTTTCAGAGGAATGTATCATTTCCATTGTCAGGCCAAAAGAGTAAGCCAGACAAGAAACCAGCAGAAGCATTCTTCAAGTTGAGTGAACCATGCATGGAATATCTGGTCTGATATAGGCCAGGCCAAGCCTGAAAGGAACTGAGAGAGTCAGTGGAAGAGTAAGTGTTGCTCAGATAGAGCCAGTGGGAGAAAAGGAGAGTATTTCAGCTGTGACCTGAAAAGGTCAGTTGCATACTGAGTTAAGTTGTAAGTGGAGAGAAATTGTATGTATGATGTCTAGGGAGGAGGCAGGGTGGGGACAGATGATGCAAGAGGTATTGGGAAAGATCAAGAGGTTGAAGGATTAGGCTGTTGCTTAAGCAGCCAAGGAGACTGAAAAGAAGGGTCCTCTGAATGTGCAGTCAGTGCCACAAGAAGGTTAGTGTGTGTGCGTGTCCCAAACCACCTGGAGAACCATGTCACTAGAAACCTATGAGGGAGGCCACTTGCTTTCCTTCAGGGAGGAGATAAGTGGTTTTGTGACCTAAATAGAAGCCATCCTTCCTGTTTTTGTTTATGGAATGGAGCCCAATCTCCAACTGATCCACTGATGACACAGATCATGTACCTGGATTTGATGGAGAGGATGTTTGTGTCCTGGAGATGGATGTGTGGTTGAGAGCTCTATGAATATACTTGTCACCATATTCATTTTTTTCTGAATGGGGCCTGGGAAAGTCAGCTCTTATCATGCAGGCTGTACTGGTTGCACAGAGCTGTAGTCCTGTGCACCAAGGTGCGAAGTATGGCATGCTTGTTAGTGAGTGGTGGTGGGAACTACCATTTAAATGGAGGTTAGTGTATGTGGGTTTATGTTAGATCTAATGATACTGGTAACCATCAGGTCTCCTATGCATATTGATGTCTAGGAAGGGAAGGTGGCTGTCTGTTCTGATCTTCATAGATACTCCAGTGGACACCATTCATATGGTTATGGAAGCCTTTCAAATTCTCAGGTTCTTGGGGCCAAATGATCAAGGTGTCGTCCACATACCGGAAGCAGGAAATGTGCTTATGTGTTGCCTGATCAAGAGCCATTTCCTGACGTTCCTGCATGGAGAACATTGTAATTGCCATGAGAACCTCAGACCTTACATAGTAATCCTGTATAGGGAGATTGTTCAGTGTAGCATCTGCAGATTTGACAAACTGCATCAAGAAGGCCAGGCTTCATTACTCTCTTCCTCTGAGGTGCAGGGACCAGCACAACATGCATTCTGAGGCTGCCAGGAGGATCTGCTGAAGAACAAATTTCTGTTGTTTCCATGAGTGAATCCACCATAGCAAATGGGAACTGGATGTTGTCTCCCAGAAATTGCTGGGATTGCACCTATACATGGCCAGTGAGTTGTGACGGAATGATTGGGACCTGACTGATGGTATACAGTTGACAAGGCCTCACATTTTGCTTCAGACAACAAAGCCCAGGCAGTGTAACATTTCCAGCATTTGCTGAAGGCTCAACATCTGTGTTTCTAACCTGACACCAGGAAGTCTTGTCTGTTTAAGCAGTATGCTGTTGGAGGACACAGTATACTCAGCCTTAAGTAAAGATCTTAATTGTACTCTGACCCCCATGACATCATCTGTGGTTAGGAGGGCTAGTGGTGTCCTTTTGGAGGAGGTTGCTGAGGAAGCTTCTCAGGAGACTGTTAGGATCTTGAAAGGCACCTTTAAGCCCAAGGGCAATCTGTCTGGTGGGGAAAGGAAGTCCCTGTATGCCCATTAATTCAAGGGTGAACTCGCAGTCTTTGTATTTAACAGGGGCATTGTGACCATGATCCTGTTCAAGAATCATGCCTACAAGAAATTGAACAAGGACATCTCTGAGGTCATATTTAGGCAGAATAGCTACTGTGGCTGGCAGATTCATAGGGTTCTGAACTCTCTGCCCATGATGTTCCTGACTTGATCACTTTCCTACACAGTGTGGGGTTCACATTCAAATGTGTTAGTAGGGTGCCATCCTGACACAAAATCTGTAGCTTCCTGCAGCCAGTCTGGCATAATTTAGGATTGAAGATAAGGGCACATAAGCATCCCATGTGAATGTGGTCAAGTCTGTGTGCAGCAGGCAGGCCACTGAATTAACACCAGGGATAAAGAGCAGTACTGGTGTATATGTGTTGATTATATATACAGAGAAGCTGTGGTAGAGTGCAGCATCAGTTCAGGATGCCACATTGGGCTCCGTGATACTAGTATCCTCTCCACCAAGTCCAGGTACATAGACTGTATCATTGGGGAGGCAACTGTACCAACAGCATGACAGATAAGATGGCCTCTGTTTAAGTAAGTCATGGAAGTCATTCAACATCCTCCTAAAGGAATGCAGGAAACTTTTGTAGTTTCCTGTGGTGTAGTTCTCCAGGCAGTCTGGCACATGCACACTGCCTGTATCATAGTCTTCCTGGCTGTTTCAGCAACAATTTATTCCTTCACCCATCTTGTCATTTCTGCTGGGTCTTGCTCTTTTTATTCCCAATTGGTCCTCTCTAAATATCATACACACAACTTCTCTCCACTTCCAGCATAACTCAGTATGCAGCTGAACTTTTTCAGGTCCCAGCTGAAATAATCTTTCCTTTGCTTCATTGACACACTCTGAGTCTCCATACAGACAACAGCCACAGCTTCACTGACTTTCCTACAGCTCATTTCATGCAAGTACTGGCATATATCAGGCTGAATTTTCGATGTCTGGTTCACTGAGCTTGCCACCTGTTTCTGCTGGTTTCTAGCTGGGCTTTCTCTTGAACCCTGAAGGTGGTGGTGATACATGCCTCTGAAATATATGGCTGTCTCCAAACTCCATGCAGAATTACTAGCCAGAAGACTGTACTCTTCAACATTGTTTACGATCACTCACATATTACCTGAAAGATGGTAACTTAGGCAGTACAGATGCTAATTACCTCTGCATATTTTTAGTAAATAAAGCTGTTTCTTTAATATGTCAGGACTAAATATTGTATAATTAATTTGTAGTTTTCATAGTTTTGATACAGTTTTGAGTAAGAAATAATGCATATATAGAGGTTAGTGCCTCTCACTTCCTGAAGTCACATACTCGATACAGTAGGTTATGTGGACATCCAGTGGCAACTTGATGTTCCAAGTCTCATTGCGGAATTTTTTCTTTCTCTTTGGATGTGACTCGTCACTACATAGGTTTACAGTTCCATGGGAACAACAGATGTGGTAGGTATTGCTTCCTAATCTTTGTTTGTTTTGTGACATGTTGAGGGGTGAAATGTATCTTTCGGTATGGCTGTAGTGGTGCTGCTGGTGGTGGTGGTATACCTTCCAAAGTGCCACTAATGTCCTGACACAGCTTCTTATCAGAGGTCATTCACCTACTTCAGACTCCCAGCTTCACTGTTTCTGTCAGTCTGAATTTGTTTTTAGGAATCTCCTTCTTGAACCTCTTTTTCTCTGCAGGTTATTTAACCACAGTCAGTATCTATACTGTGAAGTGTTGAATGTTAAGATTACACATGAATGATTGATTGGAAAGGATTTGGAAGGAAGCGGTCATGGGCTAATGAAGGTACTACCTTGGCATCTGCCTGAAGGGACAGAGAACGACTATAAAGAAGCATAAGATAGTCACTGACCTAGCTGAGAATCAAACCAAGTACCTCCTGTTTGGTTTAAATCTTCTTCATTGATCACAAATACTATATCCCATACTGTTGTAGCTTTTATCTGGAGAGCCTGAGGAAAAGAGCATAAAACCTCATTTGGGATAGCCAGTAACTCAGTCAAAATTCAGTGCAGACACCTTCTGAAAACAAGTCAAGAGAGTTACCACTTTGCCGTTGTGGTCAGTCTTATATCTACATCTTCTGTTCGAGTACTGTAGTTTGTTCAAGATGTTGTTGAAGAGAATATAAACATTTGAAAAACAAGAAGTTATAAAATACATCTCCCGTTGGCCATCCAGGCAGGAAAGGCCCCATGAGCATGACTGGTGCCATGCATGCAAGAGAATAACAGGCAGTCAAGAAATTGCATTCGTCAGTGTATGTATATGGCGATGCACTATATAACATTGCCGTAACATAATGATTGGTAGTACTTAGAATTTCAGGTCCCCTTGCTGCAGTGGTTTCTCACTTTACTACAGCAGTTGCCTCGTATATTGTAAATCTAGTATAAGATATTTACTTCCAATGATAGTGTATGACAATAAAACTGGCATATTATGGTAGCTGTCCTAGTGTCATGGGTAGTTTTTGATATAGTAACAGTACATGTGCTGCTAACCCATTAACTGAAAATTGATTACATTCTTTTTGAAAAATTAGTGTGTGCTGCTTTGAATTTATTTAAATGATAGGATGGAAATTCTTAAGCATGCAGAACATTTGTAAATCTGCAGAGATTGTCCAATATAGACACCAGCAATATTTTTACATACAACAAAAGAACTAGATTCTAAAGAGTTCTGATAATGGTGAATAATACTCAGAATTACTGGATTTTTGGATGTGGTCCATCGTCCAGTATTCTAGAAACTAGAAAATACAACATTTTGGAAACTGGATCCATTTCTGTCCACAGGTAAGGTTGGGGGGGGGGAGACACCTACCCTGTTGGGTCCCCTAGAAAGAGATAGGTTAGCTTGGTATGGACATCTGCAAGTTGCTTTAGAGATTTTGGAGGTGGGTATCTGTTCCTCACTTTAGTCTGTCATTCTGACCAGAGTTGTTCAGTGATGTTCAAATCTGGTGATTGTGACTTGTTTTCAGAAGATGTCTGCACTGAATTTTGACTGAGTTACCGGCTATCCCAAATGAGGTTTTATGCCAGGGAAGATGTTGAAATTCACCTTAATGCCCTTCTAACCATGACTGAACAGTTCCAGCTGTGTGAATGGGGGGCGTTGTCATCTTGGAAAACTGCATCATTGTTTGGAAGTAATGTTTGTATCGTGCGATGAACCTGATTACCCAGAGTGTCCCTGTACCCCCTTGCAGTTATTTGGCCATGGAAGGTAATAATGGGACCAAAAGAATACCATGATATTGCTGTCCAAACCATCGCAGTACCTCCCCCATATTTCACTGTTGAAACCAGGCATTCCAGATTGTGGGCTTCTTTAGGTGTTCTCCAAATGTGAACACTTCCTGATGTCTTAGTTATGGCAGTGACCACGTTGAGAAGTCTGTTAAGTATGTACATGTGTTTTATATATAATAAATTTGTTTTCTCATTGCTTCTTATGTTAAGAGCCCACCAAATCTTACTTTCTGAATAGCTCTTGTATGTATGTATAAATGCCCTAAGAACTTCAAATGGGTGAAATCAATTCCCTCAAATATTTCTTGACTAATAGGTAAAGGTAAAATGCCAGCAGGTATTACATCTGTTAATATAATAATTTTTGTAGAGGGCAGAATTTTTTACAATTGAAACTTGCAGAATTAACATTGAACTTGAATAAAACACAGAGGTTGCAAACGGCTTGGAAAGTCCAAGCTGTGCAGTGCCTAGCTGATCATAAGCTGTGTACAGGTTCTAATGGCATGTGGTGTGTTTGTGTGCTGTACTTAGCATATGTAAGATGCCCTGAAACCTATAGTGACAATTTTATGATTACTGCTAGTTGTTTTAGCTTACTTTCCTTTCTGAATAAAGATCTGTGATATCATCTCATCTGTGTCTGTATCCATGTGTGTATGTGTAAACATTGTATCGTTGAAGGATACCCCAACCTTTGTATTTCTGTAATGCTGTACCAGCAATAATTCTAAAATGCTAAAGTGCAGACTTCACTATTGCCACATAAGTTAAATCCAGAAATCTTGTGCTGTAAAGATTTTCATGAAATATGCTTCCTTTTGTAGAATATAAAATGACATTATGTCTGCATGGAGTCAGTATCCAGTTTTAATTTTTTGATAATAACTAAAGAATCACTGAAATTAGGAATGTGGAATTTGGATGAGTTATAAAATATCCACAAACTTCATATGGACATTTTTGTTGTGTTAATATTATAAACACAGTGCTTATATAACTCTAAGATTATACCCAAATAGTTTTCCCTAATTTGATACTGGAGTATATATTGCAAGGGGGGAGGGATTTTCATTCACCCACACACCACCTTACTCTGCTCCTAGATTGCATGGCTGGAGAGACCTCCAACAGACAAAAGTGGAACAACTTGAAATCATTTGATCCAACTGAAGTACTCTGTGCTAACTAGAAAATATAACTCAGGGTTGTACAAATAGAAAATGACTTATGAATGTGCCAGCCAGTTGAGCTTGGAAAGCACAACTGATGTAATTGTCAGAAGTGTAGCATTAGCACCACCCAACCAATGATATTTTTGGAGGGGTGTATCCAGTTTGACATTAAATGGAATGTGATTTCTCAGGTGGTGGACTTAGTTTGACGTAGAACCGATAATGGTGCTCTTTCATTCATTATCTCTGTTTTGATTTTTCTGTGTTGTGGGACACACGTGGCTGTATTGCAGGCTGGTCCATCAGTGGAACAGATATGTGGTGATGGAGAGGCAAACCAGAGGGACAAACGCAGTCCCATGCTGGGGGTGAGATATTTGTGCATGTGCAGAATTGCATTTGAATAGATGTTTTATATTCTGGCGGATCATTTTTGTCTGCTCAGTTAATCTGTCAGACAGGACAGGAGTGAGAAATGCTACTTTATGTTTTGCATGAAGTTCTTAATTTTCACTTGTTACCTTGAAGACGATGGATTGGGGATATTTAGAATGAAGTACTAAGGAAAATATTTGGGTTTGCAGGAAATGCATAATATTGAATGGGAAAGACTGTATAATAAAAATGTTCATGAGTTGTACTGTTCACTTGAGATAGCCATTGTAATTAATTCATGAGAGATGAAATGTGTCATCCCTGTAGCATTGCGAAATCATGAAATGCATTAAAAATTTGTGATATCTTGTCCAAAAACTTCAGGGACATGCCATGTAGGAAACTTGATGATGACCAGAAAACATTTAATAATCGAGAGATATGCACTGTCTCAGAAAAATCTTAATTTTTATAAAGAATAATTATTTTCCTATTCATGGTGGAACCCAAATTTAATGTGCTTGTAAGTAGTGTGGCACCCACTTAACAGATTGTGTTTGCCACAGTTAAGAACTGCAGTACCTTACCCATGTTTCAGAGCATGATACAGAATGGTAGCTGTTCAGTTGATATTTGAGCAATGGAAGATAATTTTCAAGTGGTACTGGAGATATGAGAGGTCGTGAAGATCTCGGTACTGATTTGACTCAGGATAAAGTCCAGTAGTATGCTTTTGTAAACCTCATGATATATACATTTGAGATTTATAAAAGCAGGTAATTTTGATCTGGCAAATAACTATCATCTCTAAAAGAAAAGTCTATAACAAGGAGGTGATTAGTCAGACATCTTTGCCCTACCAGAGGTACCCAGTCTGATATGAAATACTTTGTGTATGCTGTGCTCTGTAAGAGTACTGTTTGAAGTATATGTATGTGAATCTATGGAAAAGTATGGGATAATTTTGATAACAGGTACTGTTATATGTATAAAACATTGCTGTTGTGGTTCTGCTTGCAAAATTTATAATATGGTATTACAATCAAGAGTTATAATCCTTGAAACAGTCAGCAACAGCAGCTTTGAAACAAAATACTGTGTATAATGCAGAGAAAGGGAACCCCAAGATTAGAATAAAACTGTAAATCTGGTTCTCCTTAAGTAAAGAATAATGTGGATGGACTTGTAGTATGCATTTATGCATTAGAGAAGCAAGAAATGCTTAAAAAGTTTTTAGTAGGAAAACCTCAGCTGAAGAGACTGTTTGGAAGACTTTGCTGTAAGCGAGAGGAAATTTTAAAATGGATAATAGAGTGGTGAACTGAACAGAGTTGAAGTCAAACTGAAATATGGTTGCCATAGGTACCTTTGAAACGTAGTCCCAGCCAAAAATGGAGAATAAAATAGAAATTACCCATGTCATGAAAATTAAATGTAAAGAAAATGAATGAACACTGCCTGAAGTATGGTACAACATAAGTGTCAAACCACTAATAAATAACAAAAAAGTATTCTATGGAACTGAATGATGTCATGTCTCAGGGGACCAGAATCTTGAATTGAAGTGATTGAGAACATGTAAAATTATATGCTGACAGTTATTAATCTTCATGTTGCTTAACAGGGAATTTCTTGAACAGAGGAACCATTGTTAACTGCATGCTCTGTACCATGGATGTTGTTGAAATATTGAGAACTCATAGAACATTTAAAAGTTTGTGTCGATGGGATATTAATACAATTATTGTGTGTCTGGACATTATCCATCGTCATGTTTTTATTTAAAACACACAGCATTTCAAAGACTGGATTCTGTCTTCATCTTGAGGTGGAACCTACTCAGTTTGGCCCAATTGCTAGAACTAGTTCTTGTATCTGATCTTGTCCCTGTCTCCAGACACCAGCACCAACACAGGGTCTAGCTCTGTCAGTTGAGCCAAACTGAGTAGATTCCACCTGAAGACAGAGACAAAATCCAGTCTTCAAAACTTTGTGTCTTTTAAATAAAAACAGGACCATCGATAATGTCCAGAAACATAGTAATTGCAATAGAACATTTGCTATATTCTGAAACCATTTTCCTTATTTGTACGCCTTATGAATAGTGTGTTGCGTGTTATGTTAGATTACATTAGATATACTGTTTGATTTGTCTGGTGTTTTACTGACTTCCTGCATCATGTTACATTTTTAAACATTTACTTATATTGCTTTATTTATGCTTTATGGGTTTTATACCCATGTTATAAATATCTGTCCATTTTTAATCATGTTTCTTTCAACCATTCTGTGCTTGCAGGGTAGATTGTTGTCATTGTTTGCCTGCTAGATATGTAGAAATTTCATGATATTTTATCATGACTCGCAGCACATCTCAGTGCCTAAAAGACTTTGTACACAGTGCACTAGAAGTTGTTAGTGTTAGTATTAACTTTAATGTAAGTATGTCTGCCTCATGTAATCAGGGATAGCATAATTTTTCAAGACTGTTGCACAAGCTGTTCTAGTAGCAAACATAGCTTCTTGTGATGGAAATTTGAGCATTGATATATGATACTAAACACTGAAAAATGAAGGTTAAATGTAATATTAATTTATACAAAATAAGAGATCTTGCGCCAAATTTGTCTCCAGTTTTGAACAGCACATGACGATAACATTTCAGGTTTCAAACCAGCAGTGAATCAGTTAAAAGCCTTATGTATATTGTTTTTTGTCTAGTACTCATTGTTCATGTGATTACAGGCAAGGCAATATGCACATTGCTTGAAACTTAGTAACAGTGTATGATTTGAATCTTTGTATGTAGTGATGTTTTCTTCGGTGAGCTTCCTTGTGATTATGGAGTCACAAGCATGAAATGCTGAGCTCTGATTGCATACTCTTTGGGTGTAAATACACTGCATGGTTACATCATTCATTAAATCAATCTGTGATAACAGAGATAGAGACACTGTCCAAAAATTCTGTACTAATTTCACATGGTTGAGAAGACTACATTGAATAACAGCAATAAGTGATGAAAGTATTTATATGTACAAAATAATTGTAATTCCTCATCTGCATCATTATAAATACATATAGAATTAAATGTTGAGAACCAAAATTATTAGAATTTAATTAATTCATTTCTGACAAGAGGAGAAAATGTCCACTCTCACTTTTTCATTGTAAGCACCTGGGTGAACTTACTTCACAAAAGTAGACACAGGTCTGTCTACTTTTATCTTGGTAGTATCAAGTCAAAGTAGGTGCAAAAGAGATTCATCTGTTACTGAACAATGGTAGTAAGATTTTGTATGGTTCATGGTTGGGAAAATACTTTTACATAAGTAGGTATGCGCAAAAGGAGGAAAGCATTAACATATTTTGGGAGGTGGAAGAATACTCTTGCAGGCTGCAGAAAATCATCTGGCAGTCCACATGCTGTGAGTTTGATAGTCCTAATATAGACTAATATTTGGATGCTGTTAAGTGTTCAAGTAACGCAAACTGCTATATACAGTTCTGTGCTTGTACCCAGTTACTAATTTGAGGCAGATAGCCATTTACAACTGATAAGCTAGTATCCAGGTACAGTTTTAACTACTACAGTCCATCTTTGTGCAAAGTTAAAATGCTACTGAGACACAAGTGACATTAGTACCACTTAATATAGGGCCCTGAAATATTATATCTTAGAAAAGTACATAGGTATTGGTGAGGGACTCCTCCCCCCTTTGAGAATGTGAAAAATGTGGCAACTGCATGAAATCTATATTTAACAATCTCTATTTCATAGCATTAAGTAACGAACTGTTTCAAAACTGGGTATGNCGTTCAGACAGGTCTGGGGCATATCCAGCCACCTATCCAATGGATCCCGGGGGCTCTTCGTAGGGTTGAAGCTGCATCTGGTGCCAAGGTTAAGAATGCCTCCACTCACTCACATGTCTTCACAATGTGGTGCCTGATTAATTAAGCACAGGGACAGCTTTACCTTCAAAGGAAAGCAGGCAGTTTTCCCAGAGCTTCTTGCTTATGTAATGTGAAAGAAACAGAATGTTTTGTATAGGGCACTGAGCCCATGAATTGTTATGTAATGTAAATATTTTACCAAATTTAAGATCACCATCTTCTGGGATCCAGTATCATAGTTTGATAGGTTCCAGAGTTTCAGAAATATCTGCTGCTTCCATCTTCAGGGTATTGTGAGCTATACAGTGTCATGTGCCAGGTGACTAATCTTCATATTCACTGCTGTGAGAATCTCAAATATCACAGTTTGTAAAGGTTCTTGTGCTGATTAACAGCATGGTTTCAAATTGGAACAGGGTACAAGAACAGATAATTTAAACAGTAACCCAGAATTTGCAGTATATAGTTGTTACAGCATGCTTAAATAAACCAAACTATCAGCCACTTGCCTATTTCGTGGTATCGAAATCAAGAAACATACAAATATATCCATTCTGAAACATTGAGTGCTTATTAGTCACAGTAAAAGAATTTTGTCCCTGATTAAGGTAACTGATAGTGGGTGCATTTTTATAGAAATTTTCTGAAGGATTTATCATGGTTATTATGTGGTATGGCAAATTATTTTGAAGTCAAGATCCTTTCTGTTTGTAGGAAATGGCAGAACCATCACGAGAAAGTGGTGGGGGAAGCAGACTGAATGACAAAGCATGGCTGGCTCGTATATGGGCTGACTTTGATGTCAAGTACATGAAGCCATTCCTGACGCATGCTCGGCCCACTTTGTTGGAAACACTCCCAGTGTGCTGCAACCCCATAGCAAGGATCCTGACAACAACAGAGCAGATGACACAGGTACTGGCACTCACATATTCTTAACAACTTTTTATTCATTTGCACTCAGGCGTGTAAAGCAAATGTGTACTTGGTGATTCTGTTCAACATATTCAAAGATTCTTTTGTCTGAAAGAATGTAAGTCAGATATTTTATCCTGTTTACCTCCCGTGTGGAGGGCTCTTGTGAACACAGTAATGAACCTTCGCGTTGCATAAAATGCTGAGAAATTCTTGAGTAGCTGCAGATTTGGCTTCTCCTCAAGAAGGACTGAGCTCCATGAGTAAGTAAGTAAGTAAGTAAGTAAGTAGGTAACTCCCATGAACTTCCCAGTACCTTGCCTTGCATAAAAATTGCTCTTTCTAGTTACTCATCCATAGGCTCCATAGCTATAACTATCCTTTGGTGATAGCCAAAATCAAATTGAAATGTCTCAAGCAGAAAATGGGTACATAAAATATGTTGCTTTAGGTTTATAACTTTTGTTTGAAATCAGTCAGTCAGTTAGTTTATTTGTTCCAAGAATCCATATTTGGAGATACTACCTCTGGATATAGAACAAGTCAATTACTACATATTAAAATAACATACATGTCATACACGAGTCAGCAGTACTATATAACTTAATTACCTACAGATTTCATACACAATCATACAATACATCTTCCCACTTTCAGCAATTCAATACCAAAATAAACCCAACATCCAACATTTTCTTTTATTGATTAAGTGAGGACAAGATATATGTCATAACATGAAACCATAACACACTCACTTCAGAATTTTAGGAACATAAATTCATCAGTGGAATAAATGGAATGTTTCAACAGCAAGGATTTTAAGTCCCTATAGGATGTGCTGTACATTTAGTTCAGTGTGAAGAAGAAAGATTCTCTTCTGTTTATTGGCTTTCCCAACAATAACTTAATGAACAAACATAAAAATTTTATGTGCATTGATGCTGTTATTAATATTTCGTACTTTGTTATTAAATTCATGAGCCCACATTCTTACAGTCTCTTTCCAACAAGTTGATCATTATTTTGAAGTGTCTCTGCATGAGAAAAGCTCTTACAGAAACCCAATAAAAAGTGAGAGAAACATGTTTTTTTCTTTAGTTTTTGTACGGGAGTCTTCCTAGGTGACATAGTAGATTGGTGGGTGAAAGATGGTGAATACATATATGGTAACTTGTTCACAAATTCAAGTAGCCTCTGCTTGCAGTGGGCAACACTGCTGGTGGTAACTGTGGGAATTACCATTTGGCAGGTGAATATATTCATGTTGCAAATATGTATTTTAACAGCTTCATAAAAATGGCCATCTCCCCTGGCAGGATGAGAATTACATATGCTTGGATACTGGATAACCATGAGTTTGATGTCTACTAGGAAATTAAAGATAAAATCAGGAATATTTACCAGTATTCTTACTCTACTGCCTTTGTACCATATTGTGTCTGTAACCATTTTAAACATGTTTTCTTGAATGCAGTTCATAATTTTTATATGTCACTGTTTTGTATATTATAATGGTAGTTACTAATTTCAGCAGTTCTGGGTGAAATTGATCTTTTTAATCCTTTTATACAAGTATTCATCATGGTCTCATGAACTTAGGCTTCAAATGAAATGTTTTTAATCTTTTAATTGAATTGACAGTGTAATGAGCACAAGCTCGTTCGTTATTGTGTGAAAGGTAGTATATGAAATGGAATATTTTTAAATATTCTTCATTTCTTTTGAGGCTGACATCTGGTTGTGGTGGGAAGGGCTGGTAATCCTGATGACCAAGGTGACTGCTAGTTAGCAGAAGGCTGAAACCAAGATTAGACCTTGTGGAGAGAGTTCAAATACCACAGTGAAGGCAGTCTTTGTAGGTGATGAGCATAATTGCAAAGTTAAAAATAGTCACAGTATTGACAGAGTTTTCTGTGGTATGTCTGAGTATTGAATGTATGTTTTCATTTCAATGAAGACTGAGGCATCCCTGTTATTTTAATTGCAGGATAATCGGTCGAGGTCTCAGCTGGACTCAGACTCTGACCTTTGTATTGAAGAAAACGAGCTTAGCTATGGAGACCAGCGGAGAACAAGTGTCCAGAGAGTGAGTACAATGTAATGCATTTCTGGTGTATTTTTCACTCATTAAGTTGTGTGCATATAGCAGAATATTCATTATAGTAAAGGCTCAGTGAATAGTGTCATTTATGCAGCATGTATGTAACAAGGAAGAGTTAACAGTTATTTGGCTGTGTGTACTTGGCTATAAAATGTTACATTGGTAACTGTTCATCTCCCAAATATTGTTTTCTTAACCCTTTTCCTGTAAACCCTATTACTACAGGCTGAACAGGAATGTATAGGATGCTACATAAAATCTGAGGATTAGCCTTAAAGCATTGGTTTCGTTCAGTTGTAGGGAAGGGGTTAAAATACAGTACGAGGTGCTATTGGAAAGGTTCTGGATTAGGTCAAAAAAGAAATGCTGGCTTAAGTGACGCAAGTTTGGCTGCCATCTCCTTCAAAATAGTTTCCTTTGGAACATATACAGCGATGCCAGCATTTTTTACACGCTTCAAGAGCACTGTGGAAGTCATTTTCCTTAATGCTATAGAGTACCACACCCCTTTGGGTGTCAGACACTTTTTCAAAATGTGATCCCTTCAGTTTCATTTTTAATTTGGGAAACAAAGCAAAATCACAGAGGACTAAGTCCGGCAAATAGGGAGGATGGGGAACAGTGACCATGTTGTTAATCACAAACTCTGTGCTTTTGAGGGACATATGGGTGGGCACATTGTCATGATGAAGGAACCAGTTGTGTTTGTGCCAAGTTCTGGTTTTTTCCATCGCACATTTTCTCTCCAGCATCTCAGTAAATGTAATGTCACAGTAAAAGTTAGAGTTGACCGTAGGGTTAAGAGGAACAAATTCATGGTGAAAAGTAACCTTCACATCAAAAAAAAAAAAAACAATGAGTATGCTCTGTTGAACTCTGGACCTGCCACGCCTTTTTTGCTCTTGGTGACTGTGGACTGTTCCACTTTGATGGTTCCTTTGTTTCAGGATCATAACTGTAAATCCAACTCTCATCACCCATTATGATCCTAGAGATACTCTTAAAAGTTGGATCCTTGTTAGCCTTCCCTCGTAGCTCAAGACACACGTTTAGATGTCGTTGCTTTTGATCATTTGTCAAAGAGTCGGGGAACAAAATTTACGACAGTGGAGTACATGTACAAATTTTCTGTTAAGATCTCCTGTCAAACTCCATAACTGATCCTAGTGGTGTCTGTGAGCTCATGGATTGTTCGGTGACAGTCTTTGGTGATGCGTTCTCAAATTTTTTCAACATTTTCTGTCATTTTGCTGGTGCTTGGCTACCCTGAAGGTTTGTCATCCTCATCTGACACTCAACTGGCTTTGAAACATGAATGCTATTCAAGGACCACTGCTGTAGCCATGCAGATCTGAAGATCTCTGTTTTAAGTAGTCAGAGATGGGCAGAGTGACAGAGTGTATGGTAAGAGGATTCCTCTTCCTTCCCACTTTTCCTACACATGGCACTTTCAGAGAGGCTCATTACATGTAAATGCCCCCTCAATATACAGTAGTCAGTTGGCAGCCATGTTTTCAGTCTTCACTGTTTCCTGTCCAAGGTCACTAGGTCCCCAGGCACTTTATCCAAAGGCCTCTCAGTGAAGAGCTTCAGCTGGCTCATACCTCATCCTGCAGCCCAATCTTCAGAGTGCCCCTTCTTTAAACATTGCTTTCCTTTGAGGCTACCAACACACAGTGAGATTGAAATTGTTGGTTCAGAACCAAGGGACAGAGTACTTGATCCTTCCCTAGCCAAAGAATCTCATCCTCATTACTATGAGCACCTCCCCCCCACACACACACAGAGGATTGCAAGCTTCTTCCCATATAAGGTTCAGGCAAGCTTTGGTGTTTCCCTCAGTGCCTTAAAGGTCTGCAAAGGTGCTTGGCTACATGACCATATACAGACTTGATCATCTGTATAGGAACTTTCTATGCACTTCTCTGCACAGAGTAAAATCACAGAAAATTTCTGCTGTGAACACTGTGGAATTCGCACCAGGTGAAAAGACAACCTCTTCCCTGGTCTCACACTATGTGAAAAGGAAAATGTCTCTCCTACTCACCCCTCATACACCAGCCCCACACCTGTCAGCCATCCTGGACTTGTCTGCATTCCAGACTAGTCGTCTGGACTGAAGGGTCATAGGAGACCAGATTGGTAACCAGTGATTGTATGATGGGATCTCCATTTTAAAGGAACCCCTAAAGTAGTCTTTGGTATCATTATATCCCAGGTCATCTAAGAAACAGGGTCCAGTTCCATTAATCAGGCAAGTATCTGGGATCAACCTACATCTAAACCCCTAGGTGACCATAAACTGAAACTTCTGAGTTTGTAAGTTCAGTCCCTGGCCTCAGCTTTTGCCAGCAAATGAAATGGGGAGAAACCAAACAGAACCTTGAGAGCAACTGAAGGGGCTGTGCTTATAGGTCCAGTGATGCTTACACCAGCCTCTGCAGGTAACCAAACGAACTCTTGGCCACCACACGTTTGCTGTGCCACATATGTAAGCATAGGCTTTATTATAGCTGTATAAAACTGATGCATAGTCATCAATTTAAGACCCCATGTCTTACTGGGGGTCCAAGTAAGTGTTGCTAATCCTGTTTCACATGCTCTAACCCCCAGATATTTCACTGACCCAGTAGATGTTCAGACCTGTTTAGTAGAACAAGCTCTGTGAACCCGTCTGTCTTCTTCCCCTTCTTGAATTGCACGAGTTCTTTCTTGTCCAGTTGACTGATAGGTCCTCAGTCATGCACCAACTTTGTGTTATATTCAGAGGACTTTGCAGGAGCTCTGAGACAGTATTTGAGAACTTCTCAGTTATCAATGAGGCCATGTTATCATTGTTGCAATATGTGTACACACCCTCTCTGTTGAGCTGTGCAAGGAGTCTGTCCACCATTGGGCCCCACATGGGGAGAATAGAACCCCACTCTGTGGACACTCCTAGTCAATATGCACACGTTCCTTGTGCTGCCTGTTTAACACGAACAACTACTGTGTCCTTACCATCTCCATTGCGTACCCATGATGACTGTCCTGGAAGAGCTGTGTTCATCCAAGGCTTCTTTAAAAATGTGCAGTCAGTCCATGTTTTCTGTCTGACTGGAGAAGCAGGATTTACATGAGAATATTTCCAGCTTTCGTAATACATGTGTGGCCAGATGAAAATCCTCATGCTATTCTACAGTTGAGGCTTCACCATTGACTTTCAGTTAATGTTGGTATAGGTATTATGGGGGATTGGCTAATAGGACCATATGTTTTGCCAGCTAGACTCAGAGGAACAGCATACCATAATGTTTTGGTTAATATTTCACCACAGTTTGTGGAAGCTGTACATATACAAATACAAACTCGCATGTGGTTCATGCATGATAGAGCTCTGGCATATGTTGTCGTTCATGTGTTCATTTTGGACATCAGCTAAATCAGGCCTTTGGCGAAAAGTGAATAGATTGAGGTGGCCTGTTCCATGGCCCTCATGTCCACTGGTCCTCAATCCAGTACACTTCTTTTGTGGGGGTATTTTAAATATTTGGATTTGTCACTTCGGCCATTGATGTAGCACAGTTGCAGCAGTGTGTGTAGAACACTTGTGAATCAATTGGAGGAAAGACAGGCAAGGATTTAGCAATCCATGAGACACCATGCCAAGCTTTATGGGGAGGTGGGCAGCAGCACGTCAAACAGTTAATACTGTGATATGTTGGGATTACTTTAGATATGCTAGCCAGGCTGTTGTCCTCAAATTTTGTAAAATTCAAAAGGACCATTGCTCCAAAAAGTGACCATTTTTCCCACATGTTCATGTAGTATTTCTTCATTCTTCCAGCATATCTGAAAGTTAGGTGAAATATTTTTTGTTCACCATGTTTAACATGGATGTTGTTTACATCTTGTCTTTAACCAGGTAATTTTATTGAGCTTTGACTGTATTTCTTATTTTGCAAAATATTACAGTAGTGTGACATGACACCCGAAAGCCTGAATAGCGAAGTCAGAATAGACGTTTGTTGCTAGGTAAGGACTCCGTAAACACATTCCCGTGGCAAAGAATACAGAAGCAACAGTCAAGAAACTTTCGTTACTGTGCAGCAGCCCTGTAAATGAGCCTTCCCAACGAGAAAGATGCTGTGTTTTCAGCATGATCCATGAAAAGTGATTATAAAGAAGAGTTCACTTGAGAAGAATCGAGTCATGCTTTCAGATGCTAGCCTGCCAGGAGCAGAGGAATTGAATTGATTTGGCATTTGCAGAATAATGGCAGGAAAGGAATTAGGCTGTGAAAAGAAGACTTCATGTATGATTTCAAGTGACAGACTGGTGCAAATCTGTTGGCAGGATACAACTACCGAAGACTGAGAACCCTAGTGCATGTGTAATGGTGACCTGTAAAGTGTGGGAATGGCTATAGTGCTGTAATTGCCTGTAGTCCCGAGTTGTGTGAATAAAGTGTCAATAAATCAAATCCTCCAGTCCAGATACCATCTATAAGTAATGCACAAATCCCCTACATGGACAGTATTTTCTCTCATTCGTGCATTTAAACTTTACTGCCATTGTAAATTCTGCAATATTTTTGTAAGGATGGCAGTGGCCACCTTTGTTTTTTCTTTCTGCTCTTTGTATTTTGTAAACCTCATTCTATTCATTACTTTTTATGGAGCACTGCTGTCCCCTGTTGTAACAAACTGTTCACATCTTTTATTATTATTGATAAAGAGGAAAGCACAATAGACCACTGTAGCTCGCGGTGCACGGGCCAAGAAGGCCTACCCCTCATACATTCATTCATTCATTCATTCATTCATTGACCAAGAGGAAATGTCTACAGCCTGGGTGGGTCATAAAAATAAATGCTCATATTTTAAACGTTTTTTTTTTTGTGAAATAATTGACTCGCAACAATGAAGCCATCAAAGTATTTAGTCAACTACTACAGGGGTTGAACAAAATAATGGAAACACTACAGATACTTTACACATTTCTTT